AGTGTCAGGTGGTTTGTTCTTTCAAATTTGTGGGGACAGGGGATTTGCCATCTTCTGGTGACTCTTGTTATGTCGGCCATTAACATAGATCTTGAAAGAAATATCTGTTGACCAACATGTGATAAAAAGCCCCATAGCTATAACAGCTTATTAACATATCATTTCTAGATTTTGAAACTTGACCGTCCAACATTAGCAGACCTGGATGTGAACAAGAAGGTGAGTTACAATATCCATTCCTTAAAATATCGACTTTTGGCATGCTTACCTAAATATCTAGTGTCATTTCTGTCAAATTGTAACTGAGAACATATAAGTGCTTTGGTGATCTTAATTCAGTCTATTTTTTATTTTTTTTTATTTTTTCAAAATGTCCATTTTGTTTTTTCTCTTGTAATGTTATATTTGAGATCACACTTTCTCATGAAATTAGTTTAACCATTCTTGGCGATAAGGGGTGGTGGGGTAACCCAGTGGTTAAAGCGTCTGCTCGTCACGTTGAAGACCAAGGTTTGATTCTCTACATGGGTACAATGTGTGAAACCAATTTCTGGTGTCCCCCACCATGATATTGCTGGAATATTGCTAAAAGTGGTGTAAAACCCAACTCTTTTGCTCACTCACTATCTGAATGTGATAAATGCTGTTTTCTGATTATGCTATTCCAGACAGAGACTAAACTTTCAAAGAGATCTTCAAAAAGAGTCAGTTTTGCTGAGACATATCAAGTAAAGTAAGTAGGCTACCTAGAAAAACAGGCCTCTGTACAGTGACTTGGTGCTAGGTTAATTAAGCTTAGAATGTACCTCAACATGTTTGACAGTCCGTCAGTGTAGTATTTTCAGTGAAGAAGCTCATGGAGGGATTTATCAAGGGTTCCATGGGCACAATGTGTGAAGCCCATTTCTGGTGTCCCCCGCCGTGATATTGCTGGAATATTGCTAAAAGCGGCATAAAACTAAACTCAGTCAGTCAGTCAGTCAGTCAGTCAAAGGTTCCAAACTACATGCACTTCACAGTCAGTTTTAAAATGACAATATGAAGTTTGGTCAGTGAAATACAAGTGGCCTGCACTAAGAGATAGGACTGGTCATAACAATATATATAACATGAGTTCAGAAATTTGTAGTCCCTGTTTAGGAATTGTTTCTGACATTGGCTGCAGACTGAATATTGAATTAGATAAATCCCTGTTATGTATAGATTTGTTTTAATGAAGCATATTTTGGCCTTGATGTTTGATTGTTTGTGACAGTTTGATGTTGCAAAGTACATGTTTATTTAGTATTTTATATTGATGTGTTCCAGAGAATTTCCAAAGGATTCTCCCCAGCGATGGCTCCGAGATCTTCAGAATGACATAAGCTCAGGTTGTTGGAAAGTGTTGATGTCTGTTCTGTTCTTGATAATGTACCAATATCTAACCATCCTCCAAATCACCCGTGAAGGTCCGGGTTAGAATATTGAGCTTCAGTAACCCATGCTTGTCGTAAGAGGCGACTAGCGGGATCGGGTGGTCAGGCTCGCTGACTTGGTTGATACATGTCATCGGTTCCCAATTGCGCAGATCGATGCTCATGCTGTTGATCTCTGGATTGTCTGGTCCAGACTCGATTATTTACAGACCACCGCCATATAGCTGGAATATTGCTGAGTCGCGGTAAAACTAAACTCACTCCTCCTCCAAATCACCTTATTTTTACATGACCTTCCCACATATGCTTGTTAGAGGCAAATGGTATGTATCTGGAGCAGACGATTCAATGCTTGAACTGATTTTCAATCTACACAAACAGGATACGATGACATGCTATACTGGGTCACAAAATCTGACTATCTGATCCTGTTATGAGTGGGTGTGTTTAGTTTTACGCCACACTCAGCAATATTCCAGCTACATGGCGGCGGTCAGTAAATAGTCAAGTCTGGACTAGAGGATCCAGTTTTCAACAGCATGAGCATTGATCTATGCAATTGGGATACGATGACATGTGTCAACCAAGTCAGCCAGCCTGACCACCCTATCCCGTTAGTCGCCTCTTATGACAAGCATGGGTTGCTAAAGATCAATTCTAACCCAGATCCTATGGCAAGTATGAGTTGCTGAATACTGATTCTATCCTGATTTCACAGGGGCTTTTTTAGTTATATATGTTACCAATTCAGCTAGAAAAAACCCTGGATGGTATATCTTTAATGATATCAGTAATTAGCATGTTTTGAGATGGTTCCCATAATCAGGACATGAAATCACTGTTTCAGGCAACGAGGGCACCGCAGAGGATAAGAGGTTTGTGCTTCATGTTTATAGTTTCTTTTTAGCTATTTATCAGCACTCGATTACAAGGGTCTAATATTTAAAAGACTATTAAATATCAACAATGTAACCGATTAGTGTGATGAGTTGTAATTTGGTTGATCTTAATTACAGCGATAATCAGTGATTGTATGTGTTGTAAAAATGGTAATTAGATATTCATACAATGATTTCAATGAAATTGACCCAGGAATTCTTTCTATATTACAGTTCAGACAATGGCCAGACACCTACTGGACATGAGATTCTAGGTGAGCTATGAAAAGGATTTCTTTCACTTGCATTAATGTGTGACATTGGGTCCTTCGATGTAGAAGTATTGTGATGCCATAGTAACAGTATTAAATGGGGAACACAGGTGTCCCAGTCCTTTGATGTACAAGTATTGAGATGTACACAGGTGTATGTACAGTATTAAATGGGGACACAGGTGTCCCAGTCCTTTGATGTACAAGTATTGAGATGCCATGGTAACAGTATTAAATGGGGACACAGGTGTCCCACACACAAGTATTGAGTGTCCCAGTCCTTTTTGATGTACAAGTATTGAGATGCCATGGTAACAGTATTAAATGGGGACACAGGTGTCCCAGTCCTTTGATGTACAAGTATTGAGATGCCATGGTAACAGTATTAAATGGGGGACACAGGTGTCCCAGTCCTTTGATGTACAAGTATTGAGATGCCATGGTAACAGTATTAAATGGGGACACAGGTGTCCCAGTCCTTTGATGTACAAGTATTGAGATGCCATGGTAACAGTATTAAATGGGGACACAGGTGTCCCAGTCCTTTGATGTACAAGTATTGAGATGCCATGGTAACAGTATTAAATGGGGACACAGGTGTCCCAGTCCTTTGATGTACAAGTATTGAGATGCCATGGTAACAGTATGCCATAAATGGGGTGTCCCAGTCCTTTGATGCACAAGTATTGAGGTGCACAGGTGTCCCAGTCCTTTGATGTACAAGTATTGAGATGCCATGGTAACAGTATTAAATGGGGACACAGGTGTCCCAGTCCTTTGATGTACAAGTATTGAGGTACCAGGGTCACAGTATTAAATGGGGACACAGGTGTCCCAGTCCTTTGATGTACAAGTATTGAGATGCCATGGTAACAGTATTAAATGGGGACACAGGTGTCCCAGTCCTTTGATGTACAAGTATTGAGATGCCAGGGTAACAGTATTAAATGGGGACACAGGTGTCCCAGTCCTTTGATGTACAAGTATTGAGATGCCAGGGTCACAATAGTATATGGGGACACAGGTGTCCCAGTCCTTTGATGTACACGTATTGAGATGCCAGGGTCACAGTATTATATGGGGACACAGGTGTCCCAGTCCTTTGATGTACACGTATTGAGATGCCATGGTAACAGTATCATTATATTATCTGTGTGGCTGTGTTGCTGGAGGCAGTACTCCCTTTCATGTCTATGTATTGTTTAGATATGTATGTGCATTTGGAGATTCAGTATGTTTGATCATGTCTGGTTATAGGGCTGGAGCAGCTCCTCAATGGCCAGATACAGACACAGGGACAGGAAGAGGATGTTCGAGTAAGTATTGCTTGTCTAAGATTGATCCAAAGTCAGATTAAGGGAATGACCTTGGTTATTTATTGTTTAAATCCAAGGAACTCAAAAAGGCGAGAATTTAAACAGCTACCAAATTTGGGGTCCTTGAGAAATGTAAAAATTGAAAACAGTATTCGACCACAAATAACATAAGGTTTCGTACGCACAGAGAATTGAAGTTAAAGGCAGACTTACCTATCTGAAACGAATCAACAAGTCCCTGTGCTCATAAAATTACTCACTGGTTTATTCGGGTGTGAGTTGATTATTTACATGTAACTGTCATATAGGTGGAATATTGGTGTTCAGAACATTAACTTACAGGATCTTTGAGGCCTACTGTACGCTCATGTTTCTTACCCCTGTGTGCTGTGTTGTGTGTCACCTATGAAGATAGAATTGATCTTCAGTAACCCTTGCTTGTCGTAAGAGGCGACTAACGGGATCAGGTGGTCAGGCTTGCTGACTTGGTTGACACATGTCATCGTATCCCAGCTGTGTAGATCGATGCTCATGATGTTGATCACTGGATTGTCTGGTCCAGACTCGATTATTTACAGACCTCCGCCGTGTAGCTGGAATATTGCTGAGTGTGGCGTAAAACTAAACTCACTCACTCAGGGCTCCAGATAATTTTCATGATCAGGAGTACGTATGCTTTTTTTTTCAATATAGGACTTAGGAGTACTGGAAAACAATAAAAGTACATTTAGAGTACTGAATGGAATTTAATGGAGTATCAGTAATCTTGTGTTTCGTTTCATATATCCACCACAACATTGCTAGTCTTGTGTAAACAGGCCAAGAAACAATAAAACAATACTTTTTCAGATAAATACGTCCGTAAATGATTCTAAGACCGTACACCACTGCTGTGGTACGTATCTGCTACGTTTTCTAAATTATTTCCTACCGTATCATGTTTATTTTATATACATACATACGCCGATACGGCCCTTATCTGGAGCCCTGCTCACTCACTTATAACAGGATCAGATAGTCAGGTTTGGTGACTTAGACTCACTCACTCACTCACTCATTCACCCCCACCCACCCACTCACTCATTCTTACCCGTGCGTGCTGTGTTGTGTGTCAACTAGGGCCTCAACAAGACTGTCATGGACAGTGCCGACATGGAGGAGACGATGTGTACCAACACGACCATCGCACAGAACACCACCCTCACCCACCCACAGTATGACGAGGATTCGGACATTGACGATTCAGACATCGAGGATAAGAAAGTGGATACTCTTTCCTTCATATCCAAACTAATGAAAGCTCCCAAAAGGTAAGGAGATACAGTTTTCAAATGATCCATATTTCTATTAATTATTATTTTTCCTTATCCTGACTCATGCTAATTATGCTTGTCTGCTTCCTCTTGCGAATGATAGTGGAACACTTGAAATCTCTTGAAGTTCCCTTTAAAAAAGCGGACGTAAAATCACTCACCCAGAGTAGTGTCCCTTTCCTCCCTTTGGCGCCCTTTTGGTCACCTGACCGACCATGCCTTGTCACTCTCTCCTTTTTTTGCCCTTGAGGACGGTTGTGAGAGCACCTGGGTCCCTATATGGCACATATCCTTTTATATTTTCGGACCTTACATCAAAATTATTGCTGTATACGGTTTTTAAGATTATATTCTACATTATGGTTTGAAATTTGATCTAAATTTTTCGTTGTTTGACTTGTGTTTTCATAGTGTTTACATTTGATGAAAACCTGTATTCGTTGTAGATACCGAGTGTCTGCGGCTGACCCTCATTTATTATGTCCTAATTGCTTTATTTCATGTTCTTTTAGCTCTCGCTGTAAGTTTTGTGTAAATTTAACCTCTGTTGAATTTACTAATTACCTTTTTTCCATCCATAGACGTACTAAGGACTGGGTATGTAGGTATTCACAAGTCATGTCTAAATCGAGTGATTGCACTGATAACCGTGTGTTAACCACTGCTGCAGACATTCATAATTCCAGTGAATTGCCGAACGTTTCTCGGGAGCAGGTCGATGTACCAGTGGTGAACGCCGGAGGCCATAAGAGATCATCGTCTACTGAGCTGACCTCGTCGCAGATGAAGAAGGCTAAATCATCTTCTATGCAGAATGATAGGCTACTACCTTGAGACTTCATCGAAGTCTATGCTCAGCTCTACACAGAAGACGAGGTCTTTCTCAGCTGAGATTGTTCCTCCCGGAAGAAGCAGACGTTTATGATGATCCACCCATCCTCATACCTGAAGTCGCCATCGTCAGTAAGAAGACGAAGCCTGCTTCTACAGTTACATCGGCATTGTTATCAGTGCAGACATTGACAGAAGACCTTCTATCAACGCAGACATCGGGTACCAGAGATAGCAGCAGCGTCAACTCTTCACGAGTGCAGCAAGCCTTAGATGACGTCTCTTCAGTATCAGATGCATCATCCCTGCATCGTCTCTTAAGACAACGCAGAACTTCAACCCAGGACTGTTTATGCAACAGTTTACAGACCAGATGATGTCGATGATGGAACGTCACTTCGTTCAGGAGAAGGCTGCTATGAAGACCTTTACAACGACTACTAGACTGAGTGAAGGTTCTACACTCTCTCCACCGCATCTGGATGAAGAGGAAGCCTGCGTGAAGGCTCACGGACACTACGATCTTCCCCATCTGAAGTGAGGAGTCTGGACACTGCTACAACGTCAGTTCAGCCGTAGACGCTCCAGAGATTGCTGCTAAGAAGACTCCACGCAGGAAGAAATCGAGGCGTTCTCCTGAACCCCAGAGACGCATAGTCGCAGATATGAGTCTTCATCTCCATCGGACTCTGACGCCCATCGAGAACCTGCTTGAAGGCACTCCTACAGAGGGGAAGCTACGTCCAGAAACCCACCTTCACGAAGACCTAGAGAATCATCTCAAGACTCCAGAAAGGATACACGATCGCATCAGGATCGTTCGCCTGCGCGAAGCTCCTTAAACAGATCATCTCATAGAGACTCAAGTCGTCGTGGATCCATAGAGCGAGAGATGTCCAAATTAGAGGAAGAAGGTAAAGGCATATTCTCTGATACGGAAGTTAACTCCTGCATCGCCAATGGCTTGGACTTAGCATCATCTTCTAAGGACACAGATAAGGCGTTTACCTACAAGATGTCTAACGATGATTTCGACACGCTCACCTTTCCACCGATCGACCCGATCTCTCAAGTATCAGACAACCTCAGTGCAGCTTTTTATAAAACCACCAAGTCTCAGTCAGCAGTCCTGGCAGCATCAGGAAATTCAGCGTATGGAACCCTTCAAGGCTCCAGGAAATTCCAGACTCTACATAGATCTGCATGGAACCTACACATCCTGAAGGCTTCCTGAGGTGGATGATGAAGGTACAAGATTGGAATATCCGACTCCTCCGTCAGAGAACTTACAAGATTGAGGGTAAGAAGTTAGTGCAGCTGGATACAACCACCAGATGTACCTTCTTCGGATTAGCCAGATCGAGGGCTATCAACGAAAAAACTCGTCTCGAAGTTCAAGAACACCCCCGCCAAAGAAGACTTGATGATATACTCCGCTCTACTAATGCAGAAGAGGGATCATCAGTTTATGTCGGAGAACTTAGCATCCACATCAGCGGGCCTGACTCTCCTGAGAAGACAAGGGATATTGTCAGCATGCACTTGGAGTGAACGCTTCACCAAGTCCTTATACAGAGCCCCATGGTCAGCATCTTACATCTTTGGAGGAGGAATTGAAGAAGTCGCCAGAGAAGTCTCTCACAACTCGAGGGAGGTTATGATGATTAAATCCATCGACACCTTGGCTAATGTGATTCGTCAGACATCCCAACGCTACTCCAACAAATCTAAGTTTGCAGGAGTCCAGGAGTCCAGAAAAAGAAGTATTCCAGCATGAAAGGAGGAAGAGGCTCCTTTCGTCTCCCAACCGGATCTCCTAGAGGTAACCTCGGAAGAGGCCGAGCACCTAGGGGTGCAAGAGGAATCAAGCGCTGAAGGCCAGGTTCGAAAGACTGGAGTCTTCCACCCCCATCTGTTCCTATACAACCTTCGACAGTGGGTGGACGTCTTCAACGATACTGGGAAAATTGGGGAATTCTACAAGACGACTATGTGTCCCAGATACTACGCAGAGGGTACAAGATACAGTTGGAAGCCACCCTGCCGCTCACAAGCAACCCGATGGCCTTCAACTATGCAGCCGACCAGGTTGAGAAACTGGACGACGCTATCAAGACCCTGCTCGACAAAGAGGCAGTAGAAGAGGTAGATCAAGATCTCATCACGCCCGGGTTCTACTCCCCAATTTTCCTGGTACCGAAGAAGAATTCCAAGGAGAAAAATTTCGGCTCATCTACAACATGAGGAAGTTCAACCGGGAGTATCTACGCAGACCAGCAAAATTTAAGATGATACATCTTCCTCAGCTCCGACATCTCGTTCGTCAAGCAGACTACCTCGCCAGCATAGATCTGCAAGATGCGTACCTCCACATCCCTATACATCCAGACTCAAGGAAATACCCACGATTCCTGTTCAACGGACATCACTTCTACCATTTGGAATATTGTCGGCCCCCTGGTTGTTTACTCAAGTGGCCAAGTCCATCGTCACATATTTACATCGTCTACGCAGTGCGTTCTACCTGGACGATGGGATTCAAGCTCATCAAGATACCAGTCAACTCAGACTGCAACTAGACTTCACCTTCAGGCTGTTCCCTCAACTAGGATGGCTGGTAAATCTCCTCAAGTTGGAACTGGAGCCGAAACAAGATCTGCAATTTCTAGGAATTCGACTCATCACACCAGTGAATCGCATAGTCGTTCCAGAGGATCGTTGGGTCAAGATACAACAGATGATATCTCAAGCAATGCTCTCTCCGTTGACACTACGTGCTTGGCAAAGCATGCTCGGTCTACTCACCTCAGCTCAAGACATGACTCGCAGAGGGAGACTACAGTTGCAGACACTACAAGTATTTGTGAACGCCCACCTAGACAGCCTAGATCCGTTAATACTACCGGACAGCCTGAAACCATATGTCCTATGGTGGACTCGGAAGTCGAATGTTTGCAGAGGAACCTTTTTGACAGAGCCGGTTTGCAACACTCATCTCTACGTGCATGCCTCCCTACAAGGATGGGGGTGCGCACTTCAACAACGAAGTGGCAGCAGGAAAGTGGTCGAGTCTGGATCAGAAGTCACACATCAATCTGTTGGAGATGAAAGCAGTAATCAACGCTTTACAACATTGGTGCAGCGTACTAAAGAATGCACGACTCATGGTACACATGGACAACTCCACAAACAAGGGTCAACAAGATCAACAAGTCTGCTACAACTCAGCTTTCTCCTGTTCAGCATAGTCGACGACCTGAACATCTACATGATGGCATGTCACATTCGGGAGCAAAGAATATCATAGCAGACGCCCTATCTCGTCCACTACAACCATCCCCGACGGAATGGATGTTGCATCCAGAAGCATTCCAGTTCATCATACAGACTATAGGATCCCCACTAATAGACCTGTTTGCAACAAAGTTCAACAAACGGCAAATATTTTCGCACGCTTTTACTCAACCAACTACACCCGTGTTCACTCTTGTTATTCCGGGACAAGCCGAATAGCGAGATTACGGACAAGACTGAGTGATGACAAAGGAACCGACTGCACAAGATTCCATGATGATCAATTTGCTGCAACACCAGTGACGTCACATATCTGAAATCTGATTGGTCCATGAGAGACAACGCCCTGCGCAGAAGGCGGTCGCAGTTCACGTACCAGGAAGTCATCTACAATTGTAAACAACCCTTCCAACGTGGAAAGACTTTATCTACAGTCTAGATAGCGGTTCCATTGTCTTCATGGGATGCATAGAGGTCTTCTCCTGACAGCAGATTAAACTTTGTTTATCTGGGGGCTTGCAGTAACAAGTGATAGATGGTTTCTGCCCGCGGCAACCAGTCTACTATAAATAGACTTAACATCGATGTCAGCTTGCTTTCAACATAGATCGTTGGCGATCTGAAGGTGATTGCTGCATATCGAGATTCCGGCAAGATTCAAGCCATGATTGCTGCATATTGTCTAGATTCCGGTCTACTCACCTGTTATGGTGGACTCAACAAGTTCCTGGCAAATGGACTGCGGAGGACCTATTTAGAAGACTCACAAGCCGGTCTTCGACACGCACCTCTATGTAGATGCTTTACTACAAGGATGGGGAGCGCATTTCGACAATGAAGTGGCATCAGGGAAGTGGTTGAAACAAGAACAACATCTTCACATCAACCAGTTGGAGATGAAAGCTGCGATCAACATGCTAGCTGACGTTCTATCTTGCCCACTTCATCCGTCACTCACAGAATGGATGCTAGAGACGTTCCGGCTCATCATAATGGAAAGAGGTTCTCCCTTCATAGAACTGTTCGCCACAAGGTTCAACAAACAACTAGACATTGGTCTCACCAGTACCAGATCCTCAAGCCAGGGCAACAGACGCACTGAATTTGTCAGGGGAAGGACTAAACGCATACGTGTTCCCGCCTCTGGTTCTACTACTTCAAGTACTATTGAAGATCATGCAGACCCAAGTGCTACAATTGACTTTGGTCGCACCCTACTGTCCAGTGAGAGACTGGTTCCCAGATCTAATAGATGAACTCGGAAGTCCAACCATGAAACTACCAGAGTGACCGAACCTGTTCGTACATCCGCACACGCCAAGCAAGCTCATGGGGAACCTGTGGATGTTCCTGCTACACCTATGGATCGTGTCTAGACTTGCTTGAAGAAAAGAGGATACTCCACCAGAGCAGCGAAAGTAGTAACCCTAATACTATGCAGATCAACTCGCAACTTGTACGACGACAAGTGGCAGAGAGTTGAACAGTTTGCAGTGTGGAAAGACTTCACAGCAATGAAAGTGACTCATCCTCAAGTGGCGGAATATCTATGTCACCTTAGATATACGAGACGATTGAAAGGTTTGACACTATCTACATACCTGGCAGCTATCAGTACAGTCGTCACAATGAAGATAAGCATCAAGCTGACGAAAGTGCCAGAACTACTTGCTCTACTATGCTCCTTCAAGCTAGAAGACCAGCGGAAGAAATTCAGAGCACCAGTCTGGGATCTGAACCTGGTTCTACAACATCTCACAAGTGATGTCTGCGAACCACTAGCGCAGACTACCTTCGAGCTACACATACACAGAAAACTCTGTTCCTCCTCGCCTTAGCCTCGGCAGCTCAGAGGTCAGAGATATATTCGCTGGACTTTGGACAAACCAGAATGACGACACGGGTAACCTGGACGGACAGATTATCTTCAGAAGACTAACCGTGCTGCAGTATGGCGTCCACACTCTAGGACTTAGATGGGACTTCATTGCAAAGAATCAGTTGCTGGCCAACCGGACAGGACAGTTCCACATCCAGCGCTAAGGGTGCTATCTATCATAATCTATGATCCTCAGATCAAGAGAGGACACCCAGGACTTATCCTTGTGTCCTGTCAGAGCCCTGAAGATATATCTTCAAAAGATAAAACAAGGCAACTACAAAGGATTCAAGAAAAGGAAGAGGAAGCAAATAAAGCATGAGTCAGGATAAGCCTACATCTTTTTCTCAATCCCCTTTTATAAGCATTTTTATGTCAGTAACTATATTTTGAATAATTTTACAAAAACAATTGCAAGTAACTCGAAACCTCATAAAATCTTTCAAAGGCGACAATATCATTTTATAGTCTGGATGTGAAATCAAATAAAAGTGAAATTAAGATTTCTGACAAAGCAATTGCAGGACTAGAACCTCCAAATATTTAGCTTCCAACCCATGTGTTTGTGTGAACTCTTCCCTTTCCACAAACAAAAACATTTCAAACCTGAATCTCAAACAATACTTTATTGGGCAATACAGGCTATATGACCACGGTTCATGATTTCCTCAAACTTGACTTAAGGTGTAAATTTTAAACAAAATAGGTTCAAATACTCCATTGATACTTAAATGTCATTTCCAATATTACGTTTCTTTTGCCTTTCAGTATATGTAGTAGTAGTGATATGGAAGACTATAGGTTCCCAGCAACCTTTGCTTGTAACAGGGGACTAAATGGACCATGTTGTCAGCTTTGGTAACCTGGCTGATAATATGTAACTGTATTCGAATTATATGGATTGATGCTGAGGATGCCAATCACTGGAGTTTTAGTCAATTATTTACTGACTGCCATCATATTTCTGACATATTGCTGAGTATGATGTGAGGTGACATACAACTGACAGAGATAAGGGGAGAACAAAACAATTCATCCTGTGAGAGTGAGTGAGTGGGGTGGGGTAGGGGTGGGGTGAGGGTTTTTTAGATTCATTGTTTGAGTGAGATTATATTGTTACACAGATTGCTCCATAGATTTACACCACATGATTAACTGGACACATGTTTACAGATGTGATGATGAGCCGCTTATCAAGTCCATGGAAGACTCTGATGAAGAGGAGTACAAGGCTAGCAGCTTCTTCAGAGGCGGCAAAGGAGGATTCTTCAGCAATCGATGTCGATTCTGACGATGAGGAGGAACCCGTGGGCAAGATCGACAGCAAAGCTTTCCTCTCTAAACTAAAAAGCATCACTACCATGTCCAAGCAGTTTGCTCAGGAAGAAGAGAAGAGAAAAGAGAAAGAGAATCACACAGTTATATTCGATGGCTTGGATGGCGAGATGGAAGTAACGGGTAATTTCACCGGTGTGTTGCAGAGCATCAAGAAGAGGAAGAGCGTGGGGAACGTACTGGAGTCAACGCGTATATTTGCAGAGAATGATGATGGCATGGAAATGACAACCAACTTGACCTGCAACCTGGAGGTGGTGAAAAGCAATCTGCCAATATCTGAGCTAAATGCATCCAAAGGTCAAGTCAGTCAGATTGGTCGTTCGGAACTCGGAACAAGCACATTGATGGGGAGGAGCACTAATCCTGGTCTTGAACAGACGAGAGTATTCACAGATTATGAAGATCCAACCACGCACATGGATTTCACAGTTGCAGGAGGTGAGTCGAAGTGCTCGCAAGTTTCACTGGGAGATTTTATAAACAGTTAAAACTTGAGGGAGGAGAAGGCAAGACTGTAATTGTTCCCATGGGTAAAAGGTGTGAAGCATATGTATGTTTGGTTTTTTTCCTTATTCAAATTGTCAATATTTTGTGACCTATTTATTCACATTTTCGCAGCAATGTCTGCATTTAGTGCAGGATGTTGTTAGGTTTCACAAAACTGCCAGGGTAAGGGAGTCAATCAGAAATGACAAAAACTTTCATCACATACAAAACATGTGATTAAGAAGCTGATACCACCTTCTATGAGTGATTCAGTTTTTCCTTAAATCAACAGTTGTATCTGGTCTGATGGATATAAGTTATAGTGAGAGTGTTCAGTGAAACCTGACGAATGAAATCCCTTAAGGGTTTTTAGAATTCAGTGAATTCTACTCTAATCATATTTCTAGATATGCTTTGTTTTTAAAAACCATGTGCTGTCTCAACAAACTATTTGCTCAAAATTGGCCCTTTGCATTGGACCAAAAATAATTTTATGAGACTAAGGTTTTGGATCAATGGGCAAAATCACCCCAAATGACATGAATCACAAATAACACTTTAAATTATTGCATCAGTAATTCCAGCCATACTTGTCTGGTTGCTGGATTTGAACACACCATCCCACTGAAGTTAACATTTCAACGTGATCTTATCCTTTATGAAATTGTGGATATGCCTCTGCTTTGTGCAACCCGTGAAGATCCTGGTTAGAATTGATCTTCAGTAACCCATGCTTGTCGTAAGAGGCGACTAACGGGATCAGGTGGTCAGGCTCGCTGAATTGGTTGACACATGTCATCGGTTCCCAATTACGCAGATCAATGCTCATGCTGTTGATCACTGTATTGTCTGCTCAAGACTCGATTATTTACAGACCGCCGCCATATAGCTAGAATATTGCTGAGTGCAGTGTAAAAGCTAAACTCACTCACTCTGCTTTGTGCTTTCTTTGTCACTTTATGTTGACTCGCTGTGAAATTGTTTCAAGTGGCATTAAACCAGCTCACTTGCTCACTATTCCATATCTCTGATACAGGTGGGATACAGAGCAATGCCCACAGTGTAACTGCTAGGACAGAGGGAGACGGACTCCCTGAGGGAGGGGACAGGACAGGGAGTTGTCCGCAGGGCACTGCCATGCCCAAACATGGTGAGTTACATTCTTGGGTTCATGCCTTCAAGACAAATAGTCCATACCTCTTATTGATTGTGGTCCTTTTCATGAAACTGATATTGCTACTTTATGGGGTATTGTGTCTTTGTGTTATTAAAATGAAGAATGCTATGAAAAGACCATAATATATTTTTAGGTTTATTTAAATTGTGACTTTTATGTATTTGAAAAATATTTTTTTAAATGAATTTTAACTTGATCAAAACAAAACAGATCTCAAAGGGTCAGTTAGATGAGTAATTTTTTTACTGATTCACAGACATGTTATCATAGTTATATTCTGATGAACTTATTGTTTCCTGTTCCTGTAGTATGTTTGCCTTGCAATAAGAACTCTGTCTCTTCCTTCATATTGAGCGTAGTTTTATGATGGTAACCCATTTAGGTGATTGTTAAATAAATAAAGTATGACATTTTCATTGACCACATTTCATCTAGTCACAAGTTTTCATGACACTCGCCTGAGATTTGATTCCATCATGTTCTATTGTCATTATTCTTCAGCAACAGCAGTTGTGGGGAAGACTACTTCTCCGTCTGAAGTGACCATACGCTTTGGTCATCAGGAGATCGATGCCGACATGGAGATGACTGAAGCTCTGGACCCGACGCTTATTATCAGCAGCAGTGGTGGGGGAACCACCATGGTGAAGAAGGCTCCGGACCAGTCTTCCAGATCTCATAACAGAGCCTTGACAGATGTCACGGCCGATTTTGGGGCAGATGGACTCAAGGCTCGAAGGGATGAAGGGAGGCGAAGAATTCCAAGTATCTCACCCGTGGACATGGATAAAGAAAACATCACTGTGCATTTCAAGATGGCAGACACACAGGGTGAGATGGACTTCACGTCATGTCTGACGACCCAGGTGGAGGGACAAAACAACAAGGGTGTTGTGTCTCGGGAATGCACCACCACCAGTGTTGCTCTTGAGAAGACACAGATTTTTGGGGCCTCAGACGATGTTGGAAATATGGAGATGACAGCTTGCCTTGTAACCAGGAATACAGTACAGAATGTTACCACTCATATTGATGACACTGTATCGTTTAAGCAGAAAGTACCTCAGCCTGATAGAACAGGGAAGGCTGTTCCGAGTTCCAGTGGTGAAGATGTGACAAGAGTTTTTGGTAAGGATGACATGACAGCTGCCATGGAGTTGACAGGATGCCAGGGGATGCTGACTGTCAAGCAGCCGCAGCCTAATAGTACGTGTTCAAAAGAGAAAACCAGGGTCTTTGACGCAGGAGATGTGACTGCAGCCATGGAGCTGACTGAGTGTGTCAGTGCTAAGGTAAAGAGGGAATCCTCAGAAGGTAAATCAGATAATAAAACTGTACACTTCGAGCGACAAGGAGGATCTATGGAACTTACATCATGCCAGCCTGGTTTGGTTTTGGCAGCTCAGGGTGAAGGTCAGTCTGAGACAACCAGGGTGTTTGGTGCAGCAGATGTGACTGCAGCGATGGAGTTTACTGAGTGTGTCACTGCTAACATTAAGAGAGCATCATCAGAAGGTAAAACAGGTGATAAGACTATTCACTTTGAGCAACGAGGAGGTTCTATGGAACTTACATCATGCCAGCCAGGCATCGTGTCAGACGGTCAGGGTGAAGGTCAGTCTGAGAGAACCCGAGTGTTTGGTGCCACAGATGTGACAGCAGCCATGGATATGACTGAGTGTCAACCCAGCAGAGTCTCCACAGCAGCAGCAGAGCAGGGTGATCTTCAAGAATCCAAGAAGGCTGAAGTAACTGAAGATGGAACAATGGGTAGAAGCGGAGAACGTGGCCGTTCCTTACCAGGAGTCTGCACTGACTCGGTGCCAGCCGACAAAAGTCTGCAGCAGAGGAGGAGTCTGTGCAGTGGGTCCATAAACCCTGCTCCTCCACAGGTGGATGGCTTCAGCACTCAGAGTCTCAAGAGGAAGCTCTACAGCTTCGACATGATGATGGCTGGAGCAAAGGCCAAGACAGTTAAAGTAGCCAAATTAAATAAGGCAGAAAGCTGTGGTGACAAGGATACAGAAGTATGTTCAGACAGTAACACGAAAGTTGACCAAAGTCCTCAAAAAGAATCTCAAATCTCATCTGCAGATTCAGAACAGGCTTCAACGAAACCAGGCGACATATCAGGAAAGGATGTTCCTAAACCGTCTCCGGACCATGCTGACTTGACTCACACAGCTACAGATATCCTGAAGCTGGGAGTTCCTGAGGGCGAGCTGAGTGCACTGGAGATGCTGAAGATGGCTGCCTTGGAGGAGGACACAGACATGCTAGACGACACCAAGCTGCTTGAGCTACACATGATGGCCAAGGACACTAAACACAAGGCAAATACTGACTCACTCTCACAGAAGGGTCAGGCTGATGATGGTCATGGCTTAGCTGAGAAAACAATTTTGGAAGAAGAAGAAGATACCAAATCTCAGACCATTGACTCTGAGGAACCACCAACCTTACTTCTTGATGAAGACATGAACCACACTCAACATAATACAGTCACTGGACTGGCATTGATACTGGACAAGATGAACAAGTCAAAGGGTTTGGAAGGGAAGACACCAGGTAAAGGGAGGATGTCAGGAGGTGCAGTTGCCATTGGCAAACATGGCAGTCCGGAACCCATCTCCTCAGCTGACATAAAGAAGCCGAAACTTGTAGACCCTCCTGTGGAGACATTAGCTGGTAAGTGATCAAGTGGCAAAGTGACGTTGTTTTTTGTTTCTTGAATTACAGTGGAAGTTGTCAAAACCGGCAGCTTTCCAATCCGGCAAGTTGTCAGTACTGGCATAAAATCTCAGTCCCGTCCATGGCTAGTACATTTATCATCATTTAAAAGCTCTGCAATCTGACAGCTGTCAATTCTGGATCTCGACATGAAATGAGCGCCTGAATATGTGTTTATACAGTAATCAGCACTGTCTAACCCGGCATGGCGAGGAGTCAGCCGGATGTGTATTGTCACCAATGAATCCTGCTTTGAAACTACATGGCTGCCGACAAAGACAATTTAATCTTAGTTCAGCATGGGTATACTTGTACATGTAACTAGTGAGTTGACATGTTTTATTGTGATACAACAATGTATATGAGCGTGACAAAACTGGTTCACTTCTAGTTGGGGGTAACCGTGTCATCTCTACAATCCGGCATGCTGTCTAAACCAGATTATTTCTTCAGTCCCGACGAGTGCCGGTTTATACAGCTTCCACTGTATTAGAGTTGTGACTTTGCTTTCACCACAATATTTCTTCCGAGGAATGTGACATTAAAACTCTGATTGTAAATTGCAGGACAAGACTTTAATGTTTTTATCATGCTATGCTTTGTTTCTGTTTATAATATAATTAAGTCATCTATTTCAATATTGCCTCGCCTTTTACTTTCAGATTCACAGCCCAAAGATAAGGTTCCAGAAGGTGACAATGACACAGTTACCTCCCTTGATTCTGCCAACTCCGAGAGCAGTGAGGAGCACACCAGGGGACACCACTCCCAGTCTGCCATATCTCTTTCCCAGTCATTGCTGTCATTCAGTTTACTGGACAAGAAGGTGAAGTAGTCTGTTGGATACCAACTTATATTTTTAATTTCCAAAACACTCCCTGTCCTTATGCTTCATTGATCATCCATCTTATCATAACTCAGATCTATCTTGATAAATACCTGAATCTACTCATCACCATTGAGTCAAGTGTGAATGAAACAGCACTAAAAACAGCCACCAATCATATTACCCTTTTCTTACATGACTAAAACAAGCAGTGACATGATCCGTCACTGATTCGCCTTGTTGCAAACTGACTCAAATACAACTGAAGATTTCTTGCGGCAGAAGCACTTCCCTCTGGCCTTAATTCACAGGAAAGCATCTTTTCAGACTGACAATAATGAAAGATCATTTATGAGAGTCTTCTGATACATTAAGCTTTTTTAGTGCTCTTTCAGACAAGTTTGGAATTAGATTGAGAAATTCTGGTTGTATGGCAGTAAGAGAGCTTTATGTGAAGAGGTCACTTTCTGACTGAAACTATTGTGGTGGATGGACAAGAAATGTACTAGATAATCAAGAATGGATATGTGGACACAGACAACACTCTGTAGTCAAGGTTGTGATGTGCACCATAATATAATGTTGTCTAAGTTTTATGAAACCAATGAGAACAAAGTTTGGAAAAAATAGCTTTGTTTTCCATGGTTCCTACGATATAAGCTACTATTCATAACAAAACATTACTTGTCCCGTTGTCATGATTACAATTCATTCACTACAAACAATTACGTAATGCAGGGTCAAGATCTTGGATCCCAATGCTAGCTCTAATTGTGGGTTCATTGTATTTTCAAAATATTTGGTCAACAGCTATGCATAAACTGAATGATGAGTGATACATCCAAACTGTCAAATCAGAAACCTTATGATGTGCAGCAATTTGTCAACACCTGTATCGGGATATATGCATCCTGTCGTGTTTGTAGCAGATGAATTGAAGATTGCAGTGCAGTGGTTCCTTATTGAATGGTATTCCCAGTGTTATAGAGTAGAATCCACAGAGTAAGTGTACTTTGCTCAAGATCCGGGTTAGAATTGATCTTCAGTAACACGTGCTTGTCGTTAGGGTCGACTAACGGGATCAGGTGGTCAGGTTTGCTGACTTGGTTGACACATGCCATCGGTTCCCAATTGCGTAGATCGATGCTCATGCTGTTGATCTCTGGATTGTCTGGTCTAGACTTGATTATTTACAGACTGCTGTCGTATAGCTGGAATATTGGCAGTTGCTGAGTGTGGCGTCAACCAACCAACCAACCACAAGATAGTACCCTGTGGTGATGGTTCCATCACATTAGTCTTTTGTTTGTCTTTTGCAGTATGATGAGAATGATGGGCCCTGGGACTTTGGAACCTTCTGTGAGAGGACTGGGATATCCCAGTTCAAGCCTAAGTGTAGCAGAAGGAGCAGCATCAATATATTACCGGTATGTATCTGGTGGGGAAGTTACATGCAGGATGTACGTGGTACATTTGTTAACGTTTACTTTATTGTGAAAGTGTTGTTTGAATGCTAAAGAAAGTGTTTCAAATATAGATTGCTTATCTAAGTGGTTAAAAATTTAATGGTTTAATAAGAATATGGATTTTACGAAATATCTATAGTTTTTCTTTTTTAATCCAGCATATCAAGTAGACATTTTAGTGTATTTGTCATCTATAGGGTTAAGGATGAGGGAGTTAAAGATATAATAAAAGTTCAAACAGCAAAATTGTTTAACTTTGTTTGACAACAAATAATAACAGAAGTACTGAGGGCACAGATGTAAGACACCGCGATTCACTGTGTGGAGTTGTGTCCCTTGGGCATTGGGGTGGCGGGGTAGCCTAGTGGTTAAAGTTTTGCCTCATCTCGCCGAAGACCTAGGTTCGATCCCACATGGGTACAATGTGTGAAGCCCATTTCTGGTGTCCCCTGCCGTGATATTGCTGGAATATTGTTAAAAGCAGCGTAAAACTAAATTCACCCACTCACTCACCCTTGGGCATGCAAGAAACGTTTGCTTTGAATCTCGGTTTGCTGAGACACCATGTTGAACCAACTAACTGCTCAGCACTTTGTGTAGAAAATACAATACTTCATCTACACAGCAAGCTATTTTATGAATGTGTATCAAAGATGATAAAGATATTATATTCATATGTGTATACTTCGGAATTGAGGAGATCTCCAAATTCATATATTTCTCTTGCTCTAATTTAGGCGAAACAGACATTTGGACACTTTTTGTGACATCAGCACATCAAACACCCTGATTATCTAATCTTATGTGTGTCTCCCTGTAGGCACTGCAAGCTGACAGTCTGCAGGAGGTGCTTTGTCTCCAGACACTGACCGCCACCGAGACACAGGTGAAGGACGACATGTACGAGAGGCTTCAGCAACAGATTGAAAGGTCAGCATCTGCATTCAGGGGATAAGAGTAAATACAGTACCCCTTGCATCCTCGATAATATCCAGAGTATACGTTCCCGATAAATCTCCACTATACCTTAGATGCATCTACTGCTCAGCCCAATAATATTATTACCTCCCTTTGCTGGCTATTTATCCAGATGTCTACGCTGAGAAGTTGAGCATACCATTCACAAGGCTTCTTTCATTTCTTGCCTTGCAATTCGGAGTCTGTTGATTTTGACAACACAATGATTGTTGCAGAGGTACCCTGAAAGAAGAAGGAGTTCTTGCATATATTTGGTTTCAGACCTGTCAATTTGTCTGTAGGATTTGTCCCTATATCTGAGTCGCACCACAAACAAACCTTCGCGGCTGCGGCCGCTATCCATGTTGCCACCGGCAAGCTCGGTTGTAACGGCTTATCTGATTGGCTACTGTGAGAAGGCAGAGCCAGCAAAGGTAGGTAATACAATTATCAAACCGGCTGCAGATGTATCCAGGGTACTAGTGGAGATTTATCAGAACGTATACCCTGGATATTATTGAGGATGTACCCCATGCTGATGACACAGGGCACTGAGTGACCAACCATTCAGAGAGAATGGAGTGGAGACAGGGGTAGCCTTGCAATAAATTGTCACAGAAAATTCTGGAAAAGAATAGTAATGCTTCAGTTCTGCACAGAGTGTGACCTTTCTGATTGGGATATGGGCTGGTAGGGGTAGCCAAGTGGTTAGAGCATTTGCTTGTCACGCCAAAGGCCCGGGTTCGATTCCCCATGGGTACAATGTGTGAAGCCCATTTCTGGTGTGCCCTGCTGTGATATTGCTAAAAGCGGTGTAAAACCCAACTCACTTACTCACTACTGATAGTGAATTTCTACCGACTGAGCACTGTTTCACTGATATCAGAATTTCTGTAACAGGGATGAAGAAGAGGTTGAAGAACAACAGTGTATTGTGTCCGAGAAGGAACCAACGCTCTTCAGTCAGCTGAGAAACTCACAGATAACTAAGGTAATGGTTTAGTTCTGTTTGATTATAAGCCTTGTGAATTAAAATGTGATTCACTTAAGATCAATATCCATTCTGTATCTCTTTATCAAATCTGTTTCTTTCAGGAGTACAATTGGTAAAGCCCTTGGTGTCTGCCTTGATGCCTGTGTTATATGACTGATTGTAGACTTGAAATGTTGGTCCCTGTTATAGGAAGAGGTCCACTCCTGCTACAAGGCATGTCAGCGCTCAGCTAAGGCCAAGATGAAGAAGGAGCGTGTTGCCATCTCAAAACAGTGTCTGTATCACCTCAAGGTAAGAGCATTGCCTCTAGGTAGGGGTGTTGCCATCTCAAAACAGTGTCTGCACCACCTCAAGGTAAGAGCATTGCCTCTAGGTAGGGGTGTTGACATCTCAAAACAGTGTCTGCACAACCTCAAGGTAAGAGCATTGCCTCTAGGTAGGGGTGTTGCCATCTCAAAACAGTGTCTGTATCACCTCAAGGTAAGAGCATTGCCTCTAGGTAGGGGTGTTGCCATCTCAAAACAGTGTCTGCACAACCTCAAGGTAAGAGTATTGCCTCTAGGTAGGGGTGTTGCCATCTCTGAACAGTGTCTGTATCACCTCAAGGTAAGAGCATTGCCTCTAGGTAGGGGTGTTGACATCTCTGAACAGTGTCTGCACAACCTCAAGGTAAGAGCATTGCCTCTAGGTAGGGGTGTTGCCATCTCAAAACAGTGTCTGCACAACCTCAAGGTAAGAGCATTCCTCTAGGTAGGGGTGTTGCCATCTCAAACAGTGTCTGCACAACCTCAAGGTAAGAGCATTGCCTCTAGGTAGGGGTGTTGACATCTCTGAACAGTGTCTGCACAACCTCAAGGTAAGAGCATTGCCTCTAGGTAGGGGTGTTGCCATCTCTGAACAGTGTCTGCACAACCTCAAGGTAAGAGCATTGCCTCTAGGTAGGGGTGTTGACATCTCTGAACAGTGTCTGCACAACCTCAAGGTAAGAGCATTGCCTCTAGGTAGGGGTGTTGCCATCTCAAAACAGTGTCTGCACAACCTCAAGGTAAGAGCATTGCCTCTAGGTAGGGGTGTTGCCATCTCAAAACAGTGTCTGCACAACCTCAAGGTAAGAGCATTGCCTCTAGGTAGGGGTGTTGACATCTCTGAACAGTGTCTGCACAACCTCAAGGTAAGAGTATTGCCTCTAGGTAGGGGTGTTGACATCTCTGAACAGTGTCTGCACAACCTCAAGGTAAGAGCATTGCCTCTAGGTAGGGGTGTTGACATCTCTGAACAGTGTCTGCACAACCTCAAGGTAAGAGCATTGCCTCTAGGTAGGGGTGTTGACATCTCTGAACAGTGTCTGCACAACCTCAAGGTAAGAGCATTGCCTCTAGGTAGGGGTGTTGACATCTCTGAACAGTGTCTGTATCACCTCAGGGTTCATTCCCTTCATGATGATATACTTCAGTCAGAAGATGTTATGCTTTGTTTTCAATATCTCATTGACTAAGAGTTATGCTCAAGCATGTCTCTTAAGCTTGTGCCTGAGACTCTCAAGAAAATATGTCATATCTATATATGTCATGATGGATGATTTCAATGGCTGGTCAAAACACTCATATCTTTAACCAGAGATTCTTTTCCCTTTGAAGATCGGGACCCGAATTTGTCTTCAGCAAACCATGCTTGTCATGAGAAGCAAGGGGATTGGGTGGTCAGATTTGTATGTCATTGTGTCCCATTTGCATGGATCACTGCTCAATGGATTGTCTGGGATAAACCACTGTCATAAATGATAGATATACAACCAAACAAGATACATAGGCACTTTTGTTGTGTGTTGATTGTTATGAATGAGTGAGTGAGTTTTACGGCGCACTCAGCAGTATTCCAGCTGTATGACCGGTCTGTAACTAATTGAGTCTGGACCAGACAATCCAGTGATCAACAGCATGAGCATCGACCTGCGCAATTGGGAACCGATGACATGTGTCAACCAAGTCAGTGAGCCTGACTACCCGATCCCGTTAGTCACCTCTTACGACAAGCATGGGTTACTGAAGATCTTCAAGGGTCTTCATGGGTCTGTTACGTGTTGTTGCAGGAGGAGAAGGAGAGACTTTGTATTGGGGTAAATGAGGTGGTGACTCGGGCAGAGAGAGTCATCTCCGACCTATCATCAATAGACAACCGTGAGTACTTACCACTGTTTGTGTCTTTGTTCTGATTCAACACATGTATATTTCATGATTACACAGTGCATTGACTCAGTGATGCTTTTGACATAAAACATCGGATGTGTTGATTGTCTTAGTTATGGTTGTCACGCTCCCTGGAGATGATATAAATGCATTGTATGTTGGAATTTGCTTGGCAGTTTTAGATTTACTGAAGTAGCTGCTACCAATGACACTGGAAAGAAGCTTGCTATTTTTGAATGTTTACGTTTACAGAGCCTGACACATTGATGATCAATGTCAATATTTTTATCCCCGCATGTAATGCGGGGATATAATCGTTACCTCGTCCTGTCCGCTCCGTAATCATTTTGTTTCGAGCATAACTCCAAGACCGTTTGATATTTTTCAACAAAAATTTGTAGGTAAATCAAACAGAACTTAAGGTGGTACCTTTTGCTATTTACAGATTTTTGTCATTTTATATTTTTCTCGGTTTCCATGGAAACGTTTTGGACTTAGTCTTAAAGGGAGGGGTGGGCTTTGTTTCCGAGCACAGAAAACTTCTTAATATCTTTCAGCAAAACTTGGCAGATATGTGAGGCAGATCCCAAAGTGGTGCATTTTGTTATTTGCAGATTTTTGTCATTGTTATTTTCAGTTCCCATGGAAACGATTTGGACTTAGTCTCAAAGGGAGGGTAGGTTTAGTTTCGGGCACACAACTCAAAACTTCTTAATATCTTTCAGTAAAACTTGGCAGATATGTGAGGCAGATCTTGAAGTGGTGCCTTTTGCTATTTGCAGAATTTTTCATTTATGTTTTCATGATTTCCATGGAAACGATTTGCACTTCAAAGATTAAAATCAAGCTGGACTTTAAGTAACTGTCAGATGATTTGTTCTTTCAAAGATGTGGGGGCTGGGGGGATATGTCATCTTCTGATGACTCTTGTTTAGAGTTGCCTTTATTACTGATAAATTAAATGTGAAAGGTTTTGAATTTGTATTTCTGCAGTTAGTGTGATATTTTACTTCTTTAGTATTCATTGTGTAATGTGCTCTTTTAATTATATTATGTACCTCTCGTGTTTAAGAATTAAAGTTGCTCTACCCCCATGTGTAGTGTGATAAAGTTTTGCCCTGAACTAATATAGTTCAAGTACAGTTCTTTTAGAATTCATATTGTGAGCATCTCATAGTGTGTATCACTATGTAGGATCACATGGTATGTTTCACATTGTGGGATTCACATGGTGTGTTTCACATTGTGGGATTCACATGGTATGGGATGTACACAGTGTTTCACTTTTAGGGAATTACATAGTACATTTTACATTGTTGGCTTCTAAAAGTATGTTTCACATGGTAGGATTTACATGGTATGTTTCACATGGTATGTTTCACATGGTAGGATTTACATGGTATGTTTCACATTGTGGGACTTAGTTGGTATGTTTCACATGGTAGGATTTACATGGCATGTTTCACATTGTGGGATATAGGTGGTATGTTTCACTTGGTAGGATTTACATGGTATGTTTCACATTGTAGGATTCAGGTGCTGTTTCACATTGTATGTTTCACATTGCATGTTGCAGTGCTGGCTGACATAGACAGTCAGCTGGAAGACCTGGGGGAGGAGCCTACTGTCACAGAGGCAGAGGCTGAGGAAGTGGCCCGCCTCAAGGAGCACCTGCTCATCAAGACACAAGGTGATACAATATACCTTCACCTTCAGTATGATAAGACATCTGATTTTTCAAATATTTGGTAAAGTCCTTGTAAGACTCTGGTATAAACAATCTTGGATCTTGTTTCAGTTTCCAAAGATATTGGTTGTTATTGTGGCAATTAGACAGCAGTATACATATACTTGTTATTTTCAGAGTTAAGGAAGAGCGAAGAGGAGAAGGCACAAGCATTGAGGTAGAGATTTGCTGTATTTTCTGGTTATAACTACCTGATTTAAAACTATGTTACTGTGTTGCCACAGATGTAAACTTTATGGACAATGGAAGAGGTGAAATTGTTCAGGCTTTGAGTTTAGAGGGAGGGGCAGCATACAAATGACCTGACAAGAATTGGCTTGTCTGATGAAAGAGGAAACCGAAAATGTTCCTGGTGCCTGTTTCATGATGGGATCTTTGAGCCACAACTGTAATAACTCTTTGATAAAGTATTTGAGTTATGATTTCAAAGTTGTGTGTGCCCGTGAAAATCTGGGTTAGAATTGATCTTCAGTAACCCATGTGTGCCGTAAGAGGCGACTAACGGGATTGGGTGGTCAGGCTCGCTGACTTGGTTGACACATGTTGTTGTATCCCATTTGTGTAGATCGATGCTCATGCTGTTGATCACCGGACTGTCTGGGTCAAGACTAAATTATTTAGAGACCAGTGCCATATATAGAGAATACTACCGCGAGGTCTCATTACATACGAATTATCTGAAGCGAGTGTCCTTCCTATGGTATCTCAGATAACATAGGAAGGTCCGCAAGCTCGTATAATTCGGTATAATGAACCGAGTAATAATATTTTATTTATTACCCACGTCTTACATGCATTTAAATTGACAAAATAAGCGTATTTTTGTTATGTTTTGGTTTCAAACCGAAACCGGGTTTCATAAAGAGGTTCGCGGGAAGAGTTTTGTACTGTAGTACAATATTTGCATGGCGTCACACTAATGGCGTCACTGCCATGGTAACCGGCGTCACGATGCATGTCAGTTGTCATGCGCCTCGTTACAGCCTCCTACAGTAAACTACTCCGTTGCACCTCGTTTCTTGGTTTCCAGTTGCTTCATTACGGCTAACATCACTGGTGGAAACATTGCGTTTATGTTATTTCGGCGGATATAATGTCTCAGTTCGACTCACAATTAAACAGCGACACGGGCAGCGTTAGCAATGTTTACATTCCCACAATGCATTTAAGTTGTAGAATGAATGAATTCACGTGTTTGTTATGAATGAAAAAAATAGTTACGTCAGAATGTGACCTAATTGAGAGGTCATCGGTTATCAATCAAATCGTTAAATTTCAGGTCAAGTCGTTACCACACAGGTCAGCGATGATACGACACTCGTGTGACGTCTGAGATTAATATGCAACTACCCATCGTTGACCACGTGGGTAATAAAGCTGGAATATTGCTGAGTGTGGCGTAGAACTAAACTCACCCACTCAAAGATGTGTGTTTCTCAGCCAGTGAAACAGTGTTGTGTGTCATGTATCGCAGGCAGCGTAGTGAGTTGATGCAGAGACAGTCGGACCTGGAGGCAGAGGGTCAGAGACAGGAGCTGCAGATGCTGGAGGGCACACACACTGGTGACGGACTGGGAGAAGTGGAAGTGCTGCAGAACAGGCTCGGTGCACTCCACAGGTCAGTCTCATAGTATACAGAGAGAAACAAATAAGGGAACACAGGAAAATTCAAGCATTCTTTTAATATTTTCCAGTTTTCATCACCAGCTCCGAATAGCGCTGTGGGAGGAAATCTGAGAATAAGTAAAGGAACTCTGCCATGAAGTGGTGTTCCCTTATTTGTTTCCCTCAGTATATTAGCTTAGCTTCCATGGAAAGTTTGCTAAACAGTAAAACATTAATGAAACTGTTTCACCTGAATTTAAAATTTATAGCAAAATTTCACAAATTTATGTGCTTTCAGTTTCACTTTTCATACTTTTAGCTCACCTGACTGAAAGTAAGATGCCCCTTTCTTAAAAAATACACTAGACATGAAACTGAAGCTTCACATACTTGTTCCCAAAAAGGGGAATATTGGTTTGAGCTCTGTCCGTCGATCTGTCTGAGTTGATGGGGACAGATTTTCTAGATATGTTATGGCCCTTATCATGCGTTTCTTGACTTAGTGCACAGTATCCCCAATGGGGACAGATTTTGTCAGAGACTGTTGTAGATAGGGAAACCAAATTTGGTAAGTGTTTTAAGGTCATGAATGCCTTGATGGAGTTCGAAAACGGAAACAATGTTACAATTTGTTACAGAGTTATGGCCCTTGTCATGCGTTTCTTGACTTAGCGTACATTATCCCAATAGGGACACATTTTCTCAGAACCTGTTATAGAGAATGAAACCAAATGTGGTATGTATTTTCACAAATGCTTTGATGGAGGTTGAAAACGGAAATCGTGTTACGATTCTTTACAGAGTTATGGCCCTTGTCATGCGTTTCTTGGCATAGTGCACGTTATCCCCACTTGGAACAGATTTTCTCAGTAACCATTATAGCTAGGGAAACCAAATGTGGTATGTGTTTTTAGGACATGAATGTCGTAGTGGAAAAAAACATGAACAAAATAGGAACAGAACAGTGTGGCGGGTGATATTGATGACCATGTCTTCTTGTTTATCTTTACAAAGGGTCTAGAGTAGCTGGTATTCCTCCAATGTTGCAGGGTGCTGGAGTGGAGGGTGAAGGAGCTTAGTCCTGCCCGAGATGTGTTCCTGTTCCTGTATGGTGGAGTAGAAATGTCTGTCACCTATGACCTGGTGCAACACAAGACAGTTGACTCTGTCGTCCTCAAGACACATCTAGCTGGTACCACCACTCATCAAAACACTTGGCTTTAGTTACTCAAAATAATACACATAACTCATTGTTTTTTTAAAATCCTAACTAGTTAGTCTGTGCGTGACTTTAAAAAAACTTTCTTAGGGACTGTTTAAAAACCATCATTACTCCACCTAGCCATAAATTATGGACGGTCCCTTATCTTACCCTGCCATGTATCAACTAAATATTGCTACACTGATTCATGAAATGTTTGAATTTGTAATTTCTGCTGTTTTTTCTGTTTAAACCTTGGTAAAACAAATTTCCAATTTTTGTGGTTGTGAATTTATAATTTAGTACATCAGTACGTCAATAGCATGCTATACAATGACGCTCCTTCTCCACAATTGTCACTACAGATGCTTCACCACCATGGTCCCATCTTGCAAGTCGTCTGGTCGTAGGTGGTGTGGACTGTGTGAGACTCCGGGACCGCTACTCCAACAGGGACCAACTACCACAGGTGGGTCAAGCTGGTGTGGAACAAACTAGAAAGTTCAGTGATTATATGCATATGCACCTTCAATAACCTTGTGCTGTAATGTGACCTTTCTGCCTACAGATGCTGAATGAGATCTCAAGACTGACAGCAGAGGCCAGAAACCTAGCATCCCAGATCAGTTATGCTGACCTGAAGCACAAAGTGGCCGTTCATGACTACTGGTATGTTCATGATGCTGATACTCTGTTGGTGGTCACAGCTGGCAGGAACAGGTGCAGGAACAGCTGGCAGTAAATCTAGCCCCATAGTATTACCTCTACCGTACAAAGCAGGCAGTATGACAAAGCTAAGAATGTCTTCAGTATTCACACTTAGGCCAATAGTCTTTAACCCTAGTATGTAGCTAAATTTCTGTTCAGTAAACTGCAAGGCTCTCTGTGAACCTACACCAACCCTGGATCCATTATGACAGTTTCCATTACATCTGCTGATAATAGTAGTATTTGAATCATTGGAATTTTTCAACATTAAAAGGACCCCTTGATTCAAATGCATTCTCTTTAACCCTACCATGAGGTAACACTAAAATAAAATGATAAAACACAAAGGTTAGACTTGTCCATTGATTTTTTCACACAGAATGCTTGTGTTAATTCATGTTGGGTTAATGTACAATATGGTTATAATTGTGCTTGTTACTATATGTCACTGGTTGATACTGCATCCTCCTCCTTTCAGTGTGAGTGTGTCGCTCCTGAACACGCGGCGGGAGGTACGGAAGGTGGTGATCACCTTCGTTGTGGAGCCAAGCACCTGTAAGGCAGTGGACAGTTCTGTGAATGTTGTCATAGGAACAATAACGTGAGTTCAGAAATCTGTAGATGTTGTCATCAGGACAATAACGTGTGTTCAGAAATCTGTAGATGTTGTCATAGGAAAAGATAACAAGAGTTCAGAAATCTGTAAATGTTGTCATAGAAACAATAACGTGAGTTAAGAAATCTGTAGATGTTGTCATCAGAACGATAACGTGTGTTCAGGAATATGTGGATGTTGTCATCAGAACGGTATCGTGAGTTCAGAAATGTGTAAATGTTGTCATCAGAACGATAACGTGAGTTCAGAAATCTGTAAATGTTGTCATCAGAACGGTAACGTGTCTTCAGGAATATGTGGATGTTGTCATCAGAACGGTAACGTGAGTTCAGACATCTGTAAATGTTGTCAACGTGAGTTCAGGAATCTGTAGATGTTGTCATAGGAACAATAACGTTAGTTCAGCAATCTGTGGATGAAATAATGCACCATTCTGTTCCTAAACCAACTCTACTGTTACTTTCAGAAAAGAGAGTGTTGCTGATGTGATAAAAGAGACGATATGTGGACCCGAGTTCCTCATGAAAAGCATTAGCCGTGTGCAGACATTACTGGACAGCTGAATACACCTTGTACAGGTGTTGTTACTCATGATTGTGCTCACACTATGGACCTGGAGGGACTTCAGCAATATGGAATTCTCTTATGTTTGTTTACTTGTCATCATGGTCATTGCTGTGAAAAAATATTACTGGTACTGTAGACACTTTTATTTCTCAAGACTAGAAAACATAATTTACAATTTTAATAATTATTTTAATGACTGAAAACTAGAAAACATGATACGATTTTTAAAAATGTTAAATCTATAAAGTGTCAATATAATGTCATGATCTATTCAATTTAAATTAGGGGTGTAATTATATACTGCAATGTTGCTTTAAGACGACACTACCAGAATGCTCCAGCTGTTCGGTGCTAATGTACCCTTATCACTATATCAGGAAATACATTCATTGTCATTCACTGTGTTCTTGTGTTGTTTTTCTCATTAAACAAAAATCTGTTGCATAAAATCCTGTTTAGCTCTCCTTGCTTTGCTTTAACTGAATTACTTACCCTTCTAGAACAAGCCCAAGTAAATAAGGTTTTCATTTGGTGTAATGTTGATAAGAAACGTTAATATAGAAAATATGTTAAAGAACAAAATATTCTAATTCATCTGTCATCTTTATTATCATTCACTCACGCATGCTACACTATCATCATTACTGACATGAATCTAAACAAATCTTGTAGCTATGGAGAGGATCTTTGTAAAATCCCCCGACTTCCCCCTCAACATAGAGGGGACTGGTACCGCTATCCTGGTTCCAATTGGGGCACCATTGTCCTCTATAAGCACAACATTATTAGTGTCAAATCTGGGAACGTTAGCTCTCTGTTTCTGTTTAACACCCACAACATAAGCACGTCTCTTTTGTCCTTTGATGGCCAGAAGAACTTTGTCTCCAAGGGTTGCAACCTCCTTTTTGTTGTACACGTGAATGACACGGGGTGGTTTCCCCGAGGCCAGTGCCGCCTTGCCCAGAGTGCTGTTGTCTACTACTCTCATCCGAGCCATCTTCCGAATCTCATGCAGACAGGCTGTAGTGCTGTAACACATACATATTGCAGTCAGTATCTTCCACATACATGCAAATATCAGGTGTTTCCATAGAAACATATATGGTGCCTCGAACTGTTGGTAGTGAGTGAGTGAGTTTAGTTTTACGCCGCACTCAGGAATATTCCAGCTATATGGCAGCGGTCTGTAAATAATCAAGTCTGGACCAGACAATCCAGTGATCAACAACATGAGCATTGATCTGCGCAATTGGGAACCGATGACATGTGTCAACCAAGTCAGCAAGTCTGACCACCCAATCCTGCTAGTCGCCTCTTAGAACAAGCATTGGTTACTGAAGATCAATATTCTAACCTGGACCTTCACTGGTGCGAACTGTTAGGAAGTGACCATTATTTTCGTGATTTTGATAGTATGACATCAACAGAATACTACACTGATTAACACTTTTTAAGGTCTTTGCACAAATTGTCTTTCTTTCATTAAAAACACATTTTCCCATGACTTCCACTTCCAGTTACACACAATTTGAAGCAAACCATCTGCCCTGCTTTTTCGTCACAGGTCCTATTCTAAACTTCTAAGTTAGACAGTGCACAAAGGAATTAACCCATATAACGAATAATCAACAGTAGACTGTCTTTTTTATGTTCTAAGCGACAAAAGTTTATCAAAATACACTATAGCACATTTGTTGTACCACAGATTGTGACACAGATATTAAACACAAGCATCAATCCACAATATTGGGATCAAATGACGTGATCAACCAAGTCTGACCACCCAATTCATGATGACCAGCATAAGTGAGCGGGTATGGTGTTAGTTTAACGTTGCTTTTAGCAATATTCCAGCAATATCACGGCCGGGGACACCAGAAATGGCCTTCACATATTGTACCCATGTGGGGAATCAAACCCAGGTCTTCGGTGTGACGAGCGAACGCTTTAACGACTAGGCTACCCCACCGCCCCATGACCAGCATGAGTTGCTGAGAACCACTTTTAACCTGGAATACCTATGAGGTTGTTGCCTTTTACAACAAGCCAAGGCTTCTTAGGACGTATCATTTTGGAACAGGCTCCACAATTAATATCAGTCATCACTCAATACTTGAAAGAAAGAAGTCTTCAAACATCCTCACTCTTACGATCATGAGGTTTTCATTTCAGTCCACTTCAGTACCTAATACACCACCTCACATACTATTCTTGTCCTCAAAAACAGATATTTGTGTTGCCCTACTTAAGTCCTAATGAACAAATATGCCATAAAGTCCCACAAGATATTCATTCTTCTTGTAAATCACATTGTCAACAGTAACAGATGCTTTGAACAGTCAGTGTGAAAATCTAATAATTTATCTGAGTTTACCTTGATTAACAGAACTAGGGGACCCCAAAATACTATTTCAAGGGTCCTTAGGGAGCACATGTGATACATGTGGTCTCACCTTAGGCAAGTGAGTTTGTTCAAAACTACCTCTTCACTCAGCAGAAAATGTGTACCCGGTGGGATAAGTGATGTGACTATTAACCCTCTAGCACCTCACAGGCAGCTTGTGTTATCCAGGGTAATAATGTGCTGCACTTGATTGGTACTAATGGTAGCGCTATGAGCATTCACCGAGTGAATGGAGTTTAGCGCATCATAAATGCACTAATTATTAAACATAAATTATAGTTATGTCAAGTGATGGTTCGTCCTACCCACCTGAAAGCAAGACTTCCGGATGGTACGGTAGCCTGGACAGCCACCTGCTGCAACACCCGTTGTAACACACTGGACATGTTTACTGAAACACAACATTGAAATGTGATGAAATGGGGTGTATCTTTAAAAACATATTGCTCTTACCTAGCATGTGTGTGTTTCTGCTTGAACTAGTCTGGACTAATGACAGTTTTGTGGCGCAAGTTCAACATTTATACCCAAGACAAAGAATAGACTGGGCCTACCAATTTAGGAGTTTTGTTAATGCTGAGCACCAGGTGGAGATAGGGTTGTAAAGATGGATCAAACTAATGTCAATACAATGATCAAGTTGTGACAAATGAGCCCTGTACACTATCCAGAGTATCAACAGAGACATTACTAATGAAATGATATCACACTTATGCTTATAATCACAAACTTCACATTAACATACCCTACATAAGTTCCCTTAAAATGTACTCAATAAGTTAGGCTATAAAATGACAGGAAATCTACAGTGTAGGAAGATACTTTTGCAATGGTAATTATTTTGAAAATACGTATTATACTTGCAATAAACAGCCCAAGAATATTTACATGCATATAGTCAAGCGCTTTGTCTAAACAAATCTGGTACTAGAACTTTATTCTCAGAGTATCACAATCCAAATGAAAGCGGAAAACTTGTTGGTCAACTCAGTATAGATTATAGCATAACATTCGATCATGGGATATATGATACATATGACATTTGTTTACCACAGATCTATCCTACTAAATGAAAAAGCAAATACTCAAAATCTCATACCACGATAGGACATAATAATCACCAGGTGATCAATAAATACTCCGCAAAACATTATCTACCAGCAGATCTATCTTCAGCATTTTGTACTTTGTTGTTGTCATTGGTATTTGCAACTCTCAAAGTCAAATGTTTACTGTCAACACACGCTTAACATGTTTCGAAGATCAGCCTGGAAATATGTTGGGGATCTAAAAAAAGCCATACATATTTGCTCATGCAATTTCAGAAGGCATGCTTTTCTACAGTACGACTTTAAAAGATAAAATGAACACCTTGTTCTATGCCAAGTCCACCATGCTTTTTCTAAGCTCCTCACAGCGATAGTCCGTAAGCTGGTTTCCGACTTTCTGTGCGCGACGTCATCTAGTAGTATTAAGAGAAGGGTACCAAGTTTGCATGGAAGCTGTCAGGCTCTGTAAGGGAGCTTGGTGCTTTGACTGAGATCCTGTTGGTCGCTAAATGTGCGGCGCGAACCAACAATGGAACCAGTTTACTTGATTTTTCAAAGGGAGATCACTTAAAAGTACATAAGTTCTCAGCTCCTTTGCGCGCGCTAACTTGTGTATGAAGTGGAAAAGCATTTTGAAAATGCTCCTTTTGCATAAATACATATGCGGTCATCAACAACAGTTTATTACATCAATAGTAGGCCACTTAACTCATTGTATAACGCTGATACCCGTTCAAGTTAATTTTCGAAGTTATAATTCAGACTTTCGAATGTGAATCAAGCGGCAGTAAAATATCGAATCTTACACGCATTTTGCAAATCAACGTTACCCTTCGCGATTACCTGCGAGACTGCGATATTTGTTGTGGATATTCGCTTTGTTGTGATTCAAGTTAACAGAATCATAACAGTAGCGCATTGAAGTGTCACTCAAGGTGAGGTGAGGTGAAATTGGGTTTTACGTCGTACTTGAGAATATTTCGCTCATATGACGACGTGCATGCGTGTGTATGTGCGGCTGCTTGTACTAGCCCAGACTTAAGCTGGTTTTATAGTGCTAGCCCACTGAGATACCATGCCCAGTGAAGCAGGAATACCCCACTCAGACACATTATACTGACTCCGAGCCGACCAGTCCTTGTTGTACCCATTAATGCCGAGCGCCAGGCAGGGACCAACAAGTACCATATTTTAACGTCTTTTGGTATGACGCGATCGGGGATCGAACCCGCGACCTTCCGCTCTCCGGGCGGACGCTCTAACCACTACACCACGGAGGTGGTCGAAGTGTCACTCAAAAACGCAAACACACTTATGAAGTACTCTAACGCTTGACAATTGTCACATCACAACATAATATAAGAGAAGTATACGTATAGTCTGTTTGCAGTGAAAACGTACCGATGAATTTCACTTTAAACAAAAAAAGTAAATCAAATAAAGTGAAATTAAGATTGCGAATCCTCATAATTTTACCTTGCCAATTAAACATATAAATTTCAGAATTTTATTCAACATAGGATACAAGTTGTTTAACAGACGATCATAGATTCAAATCGCTATTATTGGTTTGTATTACAAGGGAGTAAACGCAGTAATTGGAACAGTGATACAAATGCACGTGCAGTACGTGATGAGCGTTAACTTAGACCAACCCTACTTCTTCTCGGTGTTTCATTTAATGTGCATACCCCCTTGTAATACAAACCAACAATAGCGATTTGAAACTATGATCGTTTGTTAAACAACTTTTTATCCTAAGTTGAATAAAATTCTGAGATTTAAATGTTCAATTGGCAAGGTAATATCATGATGATTCGTACTTCTAATTTCACTTTTTTTTATTTACGTTTTTGTATAACGTGAAATTCATCGGTACGTTTTCACTGCAAACAGACTGGAGTTGTTAGTCTTCCCGAACCGCATTATGTCCCCTTCCGCCTTGCCCTTTCTGCAGTGGTAAAACCCTAAACGAAGCAAGTGTACATTTCCTCGGGTTCGGAATCTCTCTTCTCATTGGGACTCCGTTTCAATTAATAAGGAATTGTTTGTTTATATCAAAATTATATATATTCAGGGACTAAGCGTTAGTCTAAGAAGATGTCGTACCTTTATTGTCACCCATCAACTTATAAAATACAAATCAAATAAGAAGTCGTATTTGTTACATAAACAAATACTAATTTCAAATTAAGGTAACCACTAGACTTGCACAAGTCTCTAAGGTAAAAATTAATAGTTTAAATGATCATGTCTAAAAATATAAATGTCCCTCTAACAGGCTGGCGTCTTTACTGTCCGCTTATCTAGACTTGCCTCTTTAAAGGATAGAATTACTATACATCCATGGGCTTAGCATTGACTAGAGCCTTGGAGCAAGGCTAGGTAACCGCCTGTAGTTACTTTTACGTATTTAGCGGGACTCAACATTGAAAACTTAGTAATTACACGCTTGCTGTCGATACGTTCATAGGAGTGAGTGAATTTAGTTTTACGCCACACTCAGCAATATTCCAGCTATATGGCGGCGGTCTGTAAACAATCGAGTCTGGATCAGACAATCCACTGATCAACAGCATAGGCATCGATCTACGCAATCGTGATACGATGATATGTGTCAACCAAGTCAGCGAGCCTGACAACCCGATCCCGTTAGTCGACTCTTACAACAAGAATGGGTTACTGAAGATCAATTCTAACTCGGATCTTCACGGGTTATTCTCATAGGAAAGCCAGGGGCGCGGATGGCCCGGTCGGCTCATACAACGAGGTATACCTAGTTATTTTCCTATGATCTGAGTCCACATTTACTGTGATTTAGATTCTTGGTTAGACAGCTATACCCGTACTCAAATAGAAAACATTTGACACGTATTAAAAGACCATCACTTTCTCCCCACATCTGACACACTGTGATATGACTGAAATATACTTCCGGTACTCAAAATTTGGTAAGGATCAGAGGTGGAGTTTGGATGTATCGTTACACATACTTGTGAGACAGCTGCTGTCAATATTTGCATCTGAGGATTGCAACAAGTGAATGGACTATGCCCCCTAAGCGTCAAAACCCTTGCTTGCCGACCGAAGAATTAGGCAGATGCATAACCAGATTTGTAATTGTGTCAACAAAACATTTCACGTTGCAAACGTCTCTGATGTCAGACAAAATGTGACCAGCAAGACATGGAATCGATAAAATACGTTCGCATCAGCTACCTACCAACATGCAGGTGGTCGATAGCGTTCAACCACACAGCGAGAAGACTTGTTCCTCCTGACGTCATCACGTCGTGGCTTGCGCCGCATTCAGCAATGACATACGGAATTGCAATGTCCATGAACGTTTCTACTCAGACAGTATGTAATCGCCTCTACGAAGGTGGTCTTGCATTCGCATCCCACCCACCCGACATTATACGTTTGCAAAACCAGGCATAAAAATTGCAGAAGAAATGTACAAGGGCGTTTCTGTACCTACTTGAAGTCCACTTTCGGACAGAAAATATTTTTTGAGCGTTACTTTCTGGTAACTTTCTGGACACAAACACATACAGTAAACCACCTTTATGACGAACTTTCTTACAATGAACTGACGGATATAAGGCACGTCATTTTCGGACTCGGCCACTTGCCACTTTAGTCGAAATACCTGTTATAGCGAACAAACATTAGTCGTCTCTTCGAGTTCGTTAAAACCGTAGTTTACTGTATAGCGTATATATGTTTGTTATTAAGATGTGTGGTTTATACTACTCTGTTATTTCACACACCCTGTACATTGAAATCCCTTTACTTGTATATGCTCTTGCATATCATTTTAGTTGGATAAGTCAACATATCGGATACGTCAATGTGTACTGTACTTCATCTATAGGGATGATACGTCATAACGCTATGTTGTCTCTTTATAACTGAAAAACCTCACATACAGTATACTTCACGTCTCAGTTTTTTTTATTGGAGACCCGTTTATCCGCATCGTACCTCAAAATCGCCTAGGTTATCAAATGTCCGGATTAACGGATCATGGACACATAGTTATGTCCCCTTGTTCACATGCCTATGCACCAACCAGTCATCGTTCGGGAAGCAGAGTTTCTGGGCTATCGGGTTCGAATCAAACGGGTGTCACGGTGTATTCGATAGTTCAAATGCAATTTTAGTAAAGTAGGGTTCACAGTACATGATAATGCAGAGTGTTAGTTCATCTGATACACGAATTGCAGATTAATTTAAAAAATAAAAAAAAACAAAACAAAATAGAAGTTGTAAAATGAATGCATAACATGCTGGCATTCACGTGGCATTCACGTGGCTATTTCATTACTGATAATCTTCCATACAGCCCATGCAAGTCTATAACAGTTGGCAAGTCTAGGTTACTGATAGTCTGTCATACAGACCCTGAAACAAATATATCCAAGAAAGCCCATGCAAGTCTTGATTATGTTGCAAGTCTAGATTATGTGGCAAGTCTAGATTATGTGGCAAGTCTAGATTTCCACAGTTTCTAAAAATGAAGAAAGTCTTAGGGCTCCTTTTCATTATATCTTATTATTTTTTATTATGAACTCTTTTATCTGTAAAATATGTTAATTTTCAGAGATTAGTTGTTAGTCTAGGTTACTGTGAAAAAAGAGTCTGGGTTCCTTTTCATATTTAAAAAAAACAACCTGACAACTTTTTACCTGTAACATTTTATTTCAGGGTGTAGGTGTCTTTATCACAGTGAACAAAGACGATCTTACGGTTGCGATTTTTAAAAATTCTTCAAAATTCGTTATAACTGTACAGATTCCTCCCATGTACTGTAAACATTTCATTCCTTTTCGCACGATTCGACAGCCCCCGTCACAAATCACATTGACGTGGGTGTGCAACGTTTTCAGGTCCATCAAGAAAGGACTAACCTGCCTTTTGTATATTGTTTCTTGCCAGCGCGGCTGTGATGCGCGCCCCCTGCCGGCTCTAGTTTGCTTCTTCCTGTTGTGTCAAGTCATAGATTACCATCACACACCTCTTCTTTGTAGATTTCTTGTCGGAGTCGAGTGCTGTAGCAGCATCTTTCGTCTCGCCTCATTGGGGGCGGGGTGAGCGATGCTACAGCCTCCACCGACATGGTCGTTGTACTACCATTGAATACTTCCGATGACGTAATGGCGCAGGTGTACTGAGAGGGGCGTACGGGCGTACTGGCACCATGGTTGCCGCGATACCACAGCCCCGAGGAGCCCTTCTTTGATGTTCGGACCTGTCTGATGCATACACTAATGGAAATAACTATGGGGAATGTTTAAATATATGGCAGAAATAATGATGTTTATCATTCAGAGCATGAAATTAAAAATATACCTTGACTAACGGGTATAGTTCCTGAAATAAGGTTGTCTATAAGATGAAGTAAAAATCACTCAGCTTGCCT